TAGTATTTAGCCAGGATATGGCAGTGTTTACACGTTTGCATTTATGGTATATACTCTATGCTCTTTTGTTCTAAGTAGAGTTTCCTGTTTCTTATTAAAGTTATATAGTTGAGCAGTAAAGCACATGGTGACTGTACTCTTTGTTTTCTCCTAAACAGATTTTCTAACACTTTGCTTGTCAGGTGATCGCAAAAGGTGATCACCTGACCCTGGGATATTGCAACCATCATAAATATGAGTCTGTTGCCAAGCATTTGAATTTTGATCACATGATCAGAGGGATGCTGTTGTAAGTGTAAAAAACACTCATAAGTCACTTTTTTTCAGTGCCGTTGTAATTTTGGATGGTTAGCAAATGTTATAAGTCAAGGACTACCTGTAGATCCCCAAAGTTGTTGAAAAAAATTCCTAACAATAAGAGCACATGGGAAATGGAAGTAATTACCCTGTACGATGGTGACTTTTTTTCATTATATATGTACCTCTGGAAGCTAGACAGCCATCTATTGAAGATGCTTCAATTTGGATTCCTGTGTTGAGTAAGTTGGACCCTGCAGTTGGGCCCTGCAACCTTGAGTCCTTGTAAGACCTATAAGTAGATGTTTCTAAGCAGGGATGCCAAAGAGGTACAGTCAGAGGATGAATTCCACCACAGAATTATGCTTCTTTTCTCCAGATTTATGGTTACCATATTGCTCCAAAATTAAATGGGCATGATCCTGCTTGGGAAATGTCAATATTAGCCGAAGAAGAAATTCTTCAGGTTCCCATACACGTTAAGATCAGGTGTTGGAGGCTTGCTATTGACTAGAGATAGTCCTTGACTTACAACCATTCATTTAGTGACTGTTCAAAGTTGCGACAGCACTGAAGAAAAGTGACTTATGACCATTTTTCACACAACTGTTGCCACATCCCCATGATCACATGATTAAAATTCGGGCACTTGGCAACTAGCTGTTGTGACCTAGGCTTCCTGAGTCATTAAAAAACATGAATTATGTTTATTCCCAGCTGAGTCCCAATTATTTGCAAAAAAAAGTCCTTCGGGAAAAGTCCTTTGGGATAATCACCAACTTTTATCTCCTTTGACACGCTGCCGAAGACCTTACTTGGCAAAGCCCTACGGAGTCTAGAATCACACAGAGTTGCCAACTTGAAACAGAGTTAACAACGTTGCTTTCCTGCAAAGGCCCAAGTGCCTTTGCTTCTCTTTTAAGCCTTATGGGAGGGGACAATCATCTCCTGGCCTTACTCTCAAGTCTTCCCTTTCATTTTAGCTCCTCTTGCCTTCTGGCAGCTCTACGCATGCGTGCACTAGGAACAGGCTCCTCCCATTCCTCTGCCTCTCTGATGTCCATCTCTGGAGGCTCTGGAGTCTGCACATAACTCCCAGATGGCCCTTTCTCTGCCTCCGACACAGAGCCCTTGTCCGAGCCTTCCCCAGACTCCAGAACTGGCCCATGTTCCTCCCCAGCCTCCTTGTTGTGACCCCGGAGGCTGATTTATCTTCGCATGCTGATTGGAGGATGATATGGAGGAGGAGGAAGCTGTCACGAGCTATGTGCCGGAGGGGCCGTCTTCACTGGAGAGTCAGCAAGAACTGACAGTTGCCTATGGACCCCAGCCAAATTGAGGAGGAAACAGAAGCCGGTAACGACGAGAGGGAGCCCCTATTGGATGCAAGAGAGAGACGTAGGAGACGTCGTAGAGAACAACTATTGCCGCATCCTAAGAGGTGTGGTCAGGAGACCTAGGGCCACACTCTATAAAGTATAAAAGGGGTGTGACTGGGCTGGAAAGGCATGGTGAACAATTTGTTGGCATTTTGAATGCAGTGGAGTTACAACTCTTAGTTTGGAGTTTTTGACAAGAGTCTGCATTCCTGCATTAGCCTGCTGGCCATCTGGCAAGACCTTTGGAACATTGCCCGGTAACTATTGGACTGATAAACGCTTTGGAAGAGAACTATTTATTAAAGGGCCAGTTTCAGTCTCTCTAGCCTGCGTTTGTTACTGCCGGGCTATTTGAGCCTCTGCAAGGCCACTCGTGGGAGGGGACAGAACACTCCTCACCGTCCGACTCTGCTGCCAGCTCTGAAGGCCGCTGGCAGGCCACAACACTAGCATATATTTCTGACAGCCCAAGGTCATGTGATCATCTTTTGCGACCTGACAAGCAAAGTCAAGTTAAGTCTGTTTCACTTAACTACCATGCTACGCACGTAAAAACTGCAGGGATTCACTTAACAACTGTGGCAAGTAAGGTCGTAAAATGGGGCAAAACTCACTGAACAACTGTCTTGCTTAGCAACAGAAATTTTTGGGCTCAGTTGCAGTCGTAAATTGAGGACTACCGTAATAAGATTCAACTTTACTTAAAGAGCTGCTTTAAGATGCTGTAGATATCATGTTTTCCCCAAAATAAGACCCGACCAAAAAATAAGCCCTAGCATGATTTTTCAGGATGCTCGTAGTATAAGCCCTACCCCCAAAATAAGCCCCAGTTCAGATTGTGAGCCAGATAGATGCATTTAGTACTGTATTTCCCCGGAAATAAGACCTAACCAGAAAATAAGCCCTAATGTTGACTTTTGGAGCAAAAATTAATATAAAACCCGGGGGAAAATGGGTAGGTGCAAACTTTTGTCCCCTGTGCATTCTGAAACATCTCTTTGAAAACAAATCAGAATTGGTTTAGAGGCTTTTTGATAACCAGGTAAGCATGAGAAAAGCCTGATCAGGTGGCTCAGTGGCTAAGACACTGAGCTTGTTGATCAGAAAGATCGGCAGTTCGGCGGTTCGAATCCCTAGTACAAGTCTCCTTTGTGAGCAGGAGGTCAGACTAGATGACCTCCAAAGTCCCTTCCAACTCTGTTACTGTTACTGTAACCTCTGTTCCAAATTTGCCTTAGCCACAAATTCATTAGTAGGCAACAGCCATACCTCAAACCTCCTTCTGACTCAGTAAACTGCGCTATAAAGTAAAAATTCTGTATTGTTATCAGGATTAATGAGTTAGTGGCGTGCAACGCTATTTTTTTTCCAAAAAAATTTTTTTTTTTAATAGAAACTTTATTGAGGTTTTTTACAAAACAAAAAAAGAAATAAAAAAAAGAAAAAGGAAAAACAAACATTCAAACAGAAACATAAAACACATAAGTATAATAACATTTTCAATTAGTATCGGATGTGCAGTGTTTTAACTATTTACATAAATAGTACTTGGTGACATTTCAACTAATTTTAACCAATATTTAACACACCTTTAGATCTTTCTTTCATTTTGTCATGCAACCACTTGTACCACCTTTCCCACACCATATAGTAAACTGACTTCTCATCATTTAATTCATAAGTTAATTTAGTCATCTCTGCGCACTTGAGTATTTTCTTAATTGTAAGCTCTTCTGGTGGTTGAGTTTTCTCTTTCCAGTACTGTGCGTATGCCAATCTGGCGGCTGTAATTATGTGAATCATTAAATGTGTCATTTCCTTTCTATATGGCTTCTTTATTATTCCCAGGAGGAAAATCTCTGGTGTTAGTTCAATATCTTCGTCAATTATTTCATGTAACCACCTCCTAATTTTATTCCAGTATCCTTTCGCTTCCGGGCATGTCCACCACATGTGAAAGAAGGTGCCTTGACCATAGCCACATTTCCAACAGTTGGGATGTATATTGGGATATATCTTTGCTAGTCTGGCCGGGGCTAGGTACCATCTATGCAACATTTTGTAATGGTTTTACTGCTCCCATTTATTATTCCTATTAAAGATAGAAGCTGTTGATGTTGGCAGAATCTATAAGATCCGAATTGGCCACGATGGGACAGGCTTCGCTGACGGATGGTTCCTGGAAAAGGTCATCATTAAAAAAATGGTGACCAAGACCAGCGAGCAAGACAAAAAGAAGAAAAAGAAGAAAAAGAAACCCACAGAAGAGAAAGAAGAAGGGGGGACAAACCAGCCAGATCTTATGGAGGTTTATAATTTTGTAGCCCATCGTTGGCTGGCGAGGGATGAAGAGGACAAGGAACTGGTGGTGGAGTTGACACCCGAAGAGGGATCTGAGCTTGAAGGTGAGTGGGGAATCATCATCATCTGTGATTTTATGACCATATGCTAGCATAACCAATGTTAGGGAGGTATTCTTTAATCTGGTGGTTCAGAGAACCGAAACTGAACGCATTTGGAAATCACCATGCTAAGGAAGGTTCCTTTAGAGTAGTGGTGCAAAATTTATGCTGTACCTCTTTTGTGGTCCTCAAAAGCCCAAGGAGAAGGGCCAAAGGGAAAAAAAATGGATTCTTTATTGGTGTTTAAGTGGGGTTAATGGGCAAAAGGATGGTTGGTGGTGATGATGATGAGCCGAGGTGGCGCAGTGGTTAGAGTGCAGTACTGCAGCTACTTCAGCTGACTGCTAGTTCAGCAGATCAACGGATCAAATCTCACCGGCTCAAGGTTGACTCAGCCTTCCAGCCTTCCGAGGTGGGTAAAATGAGGACCCAGATTGTTAGGGGGCAATATGCTATTTAGTATACTGTCTTTGGTGTAAGCCGCCCAGAGTCTTTGGCGGCATAGAAATATGAATAATAAAATAAATAAATAAATAAAAACAGAATAACAGAGTTGGAAGGGATCTTGGAGGTGTTCTAGTCCACTCTTCTGCTCAGGCAGGAAATCCTATAACATGTCAGGCAAATGGTTGTTCAATCTCTTCTTAAAAATTTGGAGCATTCACAACTTTTGGAGGCAAGTTGTTACACTGGTCAATCGTTCTGACTGTCAAGAATTTTCTCCTTAGTTCTAGGTTGGTTCTCTCCTTGATTAGTTTCCATCCATTGCTATTTGTCCTGCCTTCAGGTGCTTTGGAGAATAGGTTGACTCCCTTTTCTTTCTGGCAGTCCCTTAAATATTGGACGACTTTTATCAGGTCACCCATAGTCCTTCTTTTCATTAAACTAGACATAACCAGTTCCAGCAACCATTCTTTATATGTTTTAGCCTCCGTCCCCTAATCGTCTTTGTTGCCCTTTTTGTCACTCTTTCCAGAGGCTCAACATCTTTTTTACGACAAACGATGATAATAATGATTTAACAGAGTTGGAAGGGACCTTATAGGTCATCTAGTCCAACCCCCCACTCAAGCGGGAGATCCTATACCATTTCTGATAAATGGCAGTCCAATCTCTTCTTGAAAGTCTCAAGTGATGAAGCTCCCACAACTTCCGAAGGCAACTTCTGTTCCATGGATTGATTGTTCTCACTGTCAGAAAGTTCCTCCTCATTTCTAGATTGAATCTCTCCTTGGTCAGTTTCCATCCATTATTCCTTATCTGGCCTTCGGGTGCTTTGGAAAACAGCTTGACCCCCTTCCTCTCTGTGGCAGCCCCTCAAATATTGGAAGACTGCTATCATGTTTCCCCTGGTCCTTCTCTTCACTAGACTAGCCATGCCCAGTTCATGTAACCGTTCTTCATATGTTTTAGTCTCCAGTCCCCTAATCATCCTGGTTACTCTCCTCTGCACTTTTTCTAGAGTCTCAACATCTTTTTAATAGCGTGGTGACCAAAACTGGATGCAGTACTCTAGGTGTGGTCTTACTAAGGCTTTATAGAGTGGTATTAGTACCTCACTTGACCTTGATTGTATCCCTCTGTTAATGCAATTTAGGATTGGATTGGCTTTTTTAGCTGCCACTGCACACTGTTGGCTCATATTTAATTGATGTTGTTATCCATTCATTCGTGTCTGACTCTTGGCAATTCTATGGGGCAGGTCTCTCCACATCTTCTGATTTTATACTATTTCTTTGAGTTGCTCTATGCGTTGACTGGTGTCAGCTTTGATGGTGTCCAGCCACCATTGTTCTTTGAATGCCTGGTTTCCTTTTACCGCTAACTCTTCCCAACATAGTTGCTTTCTCCAGTGAATGCCCCTGCACGATGTGGCCAAAGTAAGTGAGACACAGTTTTGTGATTCTGCCTTCCAGTGACATGTCCATCCAATTCCAGGTCTGAGATACTATTGGGATGATAGAAGTCTTCTAATATTGGAGGGGCTGCCACAAAGAAGAGGGGGTCAACTTATTCTCCAAAGCACCTGAGAGCAAGGCAGTAATGGATGGAAGATAATTTTTTTTAAAATTTGATTTATATGCCGCCCTTCTCCGGAGACTCAGGGTGGCTTACAATGCACTAAGCAATAGCCTTCATCCTTTTGTATATTTATACAAAGTCAGCTTATTGCCCCCACAACTGGATCCTCAATTTACCTACCTTAGAAAGGATGGAAGGCTGAGTCAACCTTGAGCCTTGGCGAGATTCGAACCTGCAGTAATTGCAGGCAGCTGGTCTTAATAACCAGCTTAATAACAGGGTGCCTTAGACCACTGTACTACCAAGGCTCTTAAATTAAATTAAAAAGAGAAGCAACCTAGAGCTAAGGAGAAATTTCCTGACACTGAGAACAATTAATCTGTGGAAGGGCTTGGCTCTAGAAGTTGTGGGTGTTAAGGAATATGCGCAGAGTAACCCTTGAGTAGCAAGGTTGTGCACATGAGAAATGGCTGAGGGTGATTGTGAATAAGCACTGTCAATACACAGACACACTGAGTTGTGATATTCTTTTACTTTTAGGGAAAAGTCAATCCAGGGATATTCCAAGAACAAAGTCTTCTTACCAGTTGTTGTAGTCATATGGAATAAAACAGTTCTTTTTTGGAGTTGCAAACAGGAACAAGTACAGCAGTAAAACAATCAGTAAAACAGTAGAAAACAACAAGTAGCAATGATCAATCAGTGATCATGCAGTGAGAACAGGCAGAGAGGAGCAGAGGTAACAATAATAATGTAATAAGAAAAAACAAGCCATGATTCAAGCGTCTTCTTAAATACATTGGCTACAGAGCTAGCCAATCAGAATACAGTATGATGCAATACAGCATTCCAGTCTTAAAGCTATACATTACATTTTGACTGCAAACATGCATTGATGGTTTATATATATTGCCAACCCAACCAGTTAAGCAATAGCCATTCCCTAACAGTGGGTGCTCCAACACTGGAGGTTTTCAAGAAGAGACTGGACACCCCTTGTCCAGAATGGTAAAGGGTTTCCTGCTTGAGCAGGAGGTTGGACTAGAAGACCTCCAAGGTCCCTTCCAACTCTGTTATTCTGTATTCTATGAACATACAACTCTCTAGACTGGATTTGACAGCTCTTGGAGCTTCCATAAGGACTCACTATTAAAAGCTGGCATGAAAGCTGTGATTTTTGGTGATACATTCTGGCCTTTTTAATGACGGGGGGAAAAAGAGATTAAAAGAATTGTATTAGCATCCATGCCTTTTTTGATCTAAGTCTAATTCCAAGTCACCCAAGTACAAATAAAAGGCGGGGGAAGAGTAAAAATTTCAACCCCCATCTCTCCAGGATTACAGCCTGTCATCATCAATCTTGTTCAGTCTTTAAAGGCTGAGAAACATTTTTTAAAAAACGAAGCACAACTTCTCCAACAAAACAACAACAACTCTACCTGCTTTGAGGTTCTAAAGGCTCAAATCGGACCCTATGTGAAATTCCACTATTCTTCGCTTCTGTGGTTTCTTGAGAAATAAATGCAGCCCGACCGTAAGCTGAAAGAGACCATGAGAGAAAAGCTGATTTAACACTGTCTGGGGCATTAGAATCATTCTTCCTCACATAACTGAGTTTGCTTTAATAAGGAGAAAAACCCAACCGCTTCTTCTTCCTTCTCCAAGTCTCAGAGTAGCTTGCAGAGATGAATTGGCTAATCTTGAGTTAAGTTCTTCCGATAGGCCCATCTGCTTACCCTGCCCATTCACTACTTTATTTTTATTTATTTGTTTATTTGTCAAGAACGTATTAGGTAATTTATATAATTATAAGCATGAATTGAATACAAAAAAATAGATACAAGTAGAGGAAACATTAGGACAGGGATGGTAGGCACGCAGGTGCTCTTATGCACGCCCTTTACAGACCTCTTAGGAATGAGGTGAGGTCAACAGTAGACAGTTTAAGGTTAAAATTTTGGGGGGTTTGGGATGAAACCACAGAGTCAGGTAATGTATTCTAGGCATTGACCACTCTGTTGCTGAAGTCATATTTTCTGCAGTCGAGTTTGGAGCGGTTCACTTTAAGTTTGTATCTATTGTATGCTCGTGTATTGTTATGGTTGAAGCTGAAGTAGTCATTGACAGGTAGGACATTGTAGCAGATAATTTTATGAGCTACGCTTAGGTCATACCGAAGGCGACATAGTTCTAAGTTTTCTAAGCCCAGAATTTTAAGTCTGGTGGCATAAGGTATTTTGTTGCGAGCGGAGGAGTGGAGGACTCTTCTTATGAAATATTTTTGGACATGTTTGATTGGCTTAATGTCCGATAAGCAGTGCAGGTTCCAGACTGATGAGCTGTATTCGAGAATTGGTCTAGCAAATGTTTTGTATGCTCTGGTTAGTAGTGTGATATTACCAGAGAAGAAGCTACGCAAGATTAGGTTTACAACTCTTAATGCCTTTTTGGCGATGTTGTTACAGTGGGCTTTGGCACTTAGATCATTTGATATGAGTACTCCAAGGTCCTTGACAGAGTGAGGGTCATCTACAAGGTCGTGTCCACACAGCTTGTATTTTGCAATTATCCTGCATTGTCACCTGAAAGGCATGTTGAATGGGAACTTCGGTTCCTTCTCTTTCCTCTGGATGTATAGGAGATAACCAGGGAGAGGTCAGCTCAGAATAACAGAGTTGGAAGGGACTTTGGAGGTCTTCTAATCCAACCCCCTGCTCAAGCAGGAAACCCCATCCATTTCAGACAGATGGTTGTCCAGTCTTTCCTTAAAAACCTCCAGTGATGGAGCACCCACAACCTCTGAAGGTAAGATGTTCCACTAGTTAATTGTTCTGTCAGGAGTGAACAATTAGTCAGTGGCACAGCTTGCCTTCGGAATTTCTGGGTGCTCCATCACTGGAGGCTTTTATGAAGAGATTGGACAACCACGGGTGAAGCTTGCCACCAATTTGGAATCCATTCGTGTGTCCACAAGCAATCTAAGTCCAGATTTCCTTGAATTCCATTGATTCTAACTTATTACCAATTTGGCTTGGCCGTTAGTTGTTCAGATTCTTGTTTAGAGGTAGCATGGAACAAACTTTAACTCATTTGAACAACCCTGGTTCCTGAGTTCTTGCGCCCGACGTGATGTTCTCTGATGTGATGCTTGTAGAGATTAGACGAACAGGTCAATATAGCAAAAGGAGGAAGAGGATGGTCCTGGAGTTAGGCTTAGGACCACAGTGAAGCATGAGCCTTAAGAAGTCCCTGACAAGACCACTCTCCACCAGGGGTGGGATTCAGCCGGTTCGGACCAGTTCGGGCAAACCAGTAGTTCTAATGATCAGCTGGCCCTGTCCCCCTGCCCCTGCCGTATCCTGTCCTATATTTCCTTCTTTCTGGCTCAGCTGATTTGTGCAGCACAGCTGATTTCTGCACCTTCACTGTTCTACTTACTGGGGTTGCCTTATGTTGTGGTCCGCCAGCAGCCTGCGGAGCTGGCATCGGAGTCGGACAGCGATGAGGCTGAGGAAGAACATGGGCCAGTCCTGGAGGCTGGGGAAGGCCCGGATGAGGGCTCTGCATCGGAGGCAGAGATGGGGCCAGGGCCATTGGGGAGTGATGTGCGGACTTCGGAGCCTCCAGAGGCTGACAGTAGAGAGGCAGAGGAACAGGAGGAGCCTGTTCCTAGTGCATGTATGAGAAGAGCTGCCAGAAGACAGGAGCAGTTAAAGTAGAGAGGATGACTCAGGAGTAGGGCCAAGAGATGATTGGCCCCTCCCATAAGGCTTAAAAGACCAGCAACGGCTTTTGGCCTCTTTGCCGGAAAACAACGTTGAGAGAATTGCTTCTTGTTTCACTGTATTAATTTCTTGTCGGCGTCTTCTGCTTCTGAACTTTTGCCAAGAAAAGCCTTTGGCAGTTTGCCTAATTATCCCAAGGTCGGTGATAAACTGAGGAATGGTGTTTTGAAGAATTTGCTTTAATTTAGTTTGGACTACGCTGAGAATGAGTTAATTCTCAGCTGTTCTAATAAAGTCTGTTTGTTTTCAAACTGCTCGCGTTTAATACTAACTACTCGGGCCTGGGTCACAACACCTTAGAAGTAGCTGAGCTTCAAATTGTTGTATTTTGAACGCTGTGCACAAGTGTGTTAGGTGTGAAGCACGTGCTCACCGAACCGATGGTTAAACCGGTTGCATCCCACCACTGCTCCACACCAACATCTTCTGAGCATGAAAAAAGGAACCGGAGAGAAAAAATTGCTGCACAGCCTCGATCCAACTGTTCTGCTTAACCACAGCCTATTTTGGTTTCAGGCAAAGGAGGCAGCATCAGAAATTAAGAGTAAAGCATCAGTGAACCAAACTCACTTCTCAGAAAAGGGCTCAGCTTGTTACACTGGTTGATAGTGAAAAAAACCAGATTTTCAAAAGAAATGTCTGAAGACCATTTGATTGACCTGTGAATAATTCACTTTTTCTGTAGCAAACACCTACGAAGTCCATGTGATAACAGGGATGATATGGGGAGCTGGTACCGATGCCAATGTTTACTTGAGCATCTATGGTGAAAGGGGAGACACTGGGGAACGTCATTTGAAGTACTCGAATCATCTGAACAAGTTTGAAAAGGAACAGGTAAGTAGCCAAATAACAGAACTCCAAAGGATTTGCTCCGTATAGAAAGCTGCCTTAAAACAAACTTTCAAACCACTGTTGAGATTGTCAGAAACTGTTTGTAATCTCCGGAGGAAACCTTGGATTCAGATCAGGGGTGGGCTTCAAAAATTTTAGCAAGGGGTTCTCTGCCTGGTTGCTGGATGGGCGTGGCCCTGGTGGGCGTGGCCTAGTCAGCCTCCTGCACCATGGCGGGGGGTGGGAGGCGTTTTTGCCCTCCCCGGACTCTGGAGGCTTTCCTCGAACTGAACTTCCTGAACTTCCGGTGGCCAATTTTTCACCCTCCCTGAGCCTCCGTGTGTTATGGAATGAAAGACTGAAAAACATTCCTGGGTCAGCCAGATACAGTTTATTGCGCAGGTTCAGAGCCAGATTTGTACCTGAAATTCTGAACAAAGGAAGAGTTCTGATACAACTGCTTTTATACATATCCAAGACAAAGGATTTGGTGAGCTCATGCATTGGTGAGCTCACGCATTGGTGAGCTCATGCATTTTCCATATATGGTTAACATACACTTGTTATATGATAATTGACACTTCCTAATTACTAAACCATTAGTTTCTAGTTTATAAGATTATCTTTAGCTAGACATCCTTCCTTAGTTCTGTATTTACTAATACGGGAGTTTTATTGCTGTCCTTAGGCAATAAGTAACTCTTTGTAACATATATGTCTTTGTGTCTTTGACAGTGAGGCCCCTCAGATGTTTTCCATATGGCTGTCCTTCCGTGACAGCTAGGCCTCATCAGAAGATATATTACCAATAATGGGATTTAGCTAATTTTTAATATAATCTCCAAACGAGCACATTTCTCCCTTATAATAATGTGAATAGAGAGGGTCCTTTAGTGTTCATGTAGCTGACCCTGTATGATTCCTACTTTATTCACATTACGTGCATGCCCTGCACTTACCTGAATCCAAAATGGGCCGCATGGGGACTCCTGGGGGAGGCGGGGCAGGGTGGGCGAGGCCAGCCAGGAGTGGGATTTGGGAGTTCTCTGGATTGCACAGAATCTTAGCTAGAGGTTCTCCCAAACCCGAGAACCCCCAGCAGCTCACCACTGATTCATATGTCTGTGGAGACCCTCAATCACCCCAGTCAAGGTTGTCCCAAAGGTGCTTTTTCAAAAGGCAACTGGACTTTCTTGGTTCTTTTTTTTCCCCCTTTAAAACGTTTCACTTCTCATCCAAAAGTTTTCTTCAATTCTAACTGACTGGTGGGGAATGGATGGATTTATATATATATATATATTTTGCAGTCATCTGGTTGTTATGACTGCAAGGAATATAAATCCTTCCATTCCTCACCATTCAGCCAGAACTGAAGAAGCTTCTTGGATGAGAAGTGAAACATTTTCAAGGGGAAAAAACCCGAAGTCCAGTTATCTTTGGAAATGCTCCCTTTGGGACTTGGATTCAAATCTTTTGCTTTCTTTAAGATGGGACTATCAGGGCTTTAACCTGAGATCTTACCGAGCCTTGGTGGCGCAGTGGCTAAAGTGCTGTTAAAGTAAAGCCAGCTGCCTGCAATTACTGCAAGTTCAAATCTCACCAGCTCAAGGTTGACTCAGCCTTCCATCCTTTCGAGGTAGGTAAAATGAGGACCCGGATTGTGGGGGCAATAAGCTGACTTTGTGTAAAAAGAACACCGCTTGGGGGGCCCGAAAGCCCTACTAAGCAGGTATATACAAAAGTATGAAGGCTATTGCTTAACGCATTGTAAGCCGCCCTGAGTCTCCGGAGAAGGGCGGCATATAAATCGAACCAATAAATAAAAATAAATAAATAAATAATAAATTACGAGTGCAAAGATGATCACTGAATTCTGTCAACTTCCCCAGTTATGTACCGTGTTTCCCCCAAAGTAAGACCCTGTCTTATATTTTTTGGAACCCTGAAATAAGTGCTTGGCCTTATTTTCGGGGAGGTCTTATTATTTTGGGGCGTGTGGAGCAAGATGGGGCTCCTCTTGCTGTCTTACCTGATTTTCAGCTCTGCGTTTAAATATTTTCGGGAATGGCTTATTTTCGGAGGGAGGCTTATTTTAGCGCATGCGCTCAAAAGCCTGATTGGGCTTATTATCAGGGGATGTCTTATTTTTGGGGAAACAGGGTATCTTCTACCCTGTTTCCCCCAAAATAAGACCCTGTCTTTTTTTTTTTTTTTGGTTTTTATTGTGAAAATATAGAAATACAATTCTGCGTTTTTCGGTTCCGTGGTGTTAAATTATTTACATATTATTTACATAGTATTGTATCTTTGCTTGTATATAGTTTAGATATTATTACAGGTAATTATATACAGTTAATTATATGTGGTTATATACATATTGTTTACTTGTTATTTACGTAGATTGCAACCTTAGTTCAGTAATGTACATGGTAATAGTTAACTCTTTATGAACATTATTAATTAACCTTGATACTTCTCAAATTTCACTTTTTGATTCTTTTCTCTAACCACTCGTACCACAACTCCCACACATTATAATACTCCGTGTTCTCTCTTTCGTTAAGTTCTAATGTTAGCTTGTTCATTTCAGCGCACTCTAATATTTTCTTGATTACTTGTTCTTCAGTTGGTGGTTTTTTCTCCTTCCAATATTGAGCGTAGGTTATTCTTGCCGCTATCGTTATATGTGTAATAAGGTACTTCTTCTTTTTTTCGTATTCTGTTTTCAGGATTCCCAGGAGAAAGGTCTTCGGTTCAAAATCAATATTTTCTTTTATTATTTCCGTAAGCCATTTCCAGATCTTTTTTTTTTTTTTTTTTGCCACCAAAAAAGGCACCAGGTCTTATTTTCAGGGTGGATATTGTCCACTGACACCTCATTTGTATTCGTCACCCCCGGCCTCCTTTTCACTGTCAGAGGCCTTCAGGAACTTCTTCTGCAGCTGGCAAGGCTTTCCTGAAGGCCTCTGCAACTGATAACAGACCTCCAGATCAACAAGGCAGGTGTTATGTAGTGGCCTTCATTAGGCAAGAACCAGTCCAGCAAAGCTGCAACAACATTTATTGACTCATAAATGGAACTGAGAAACTGCAGGCAAATGCCTGTTATTTAGACTGTAGACCCACAGGGCCTTAACCAATCATAGAACTGGAAAAAGCCCACCTAAATATAAATGTTGCAAGTTTCCCTCCAAAACAGTTGGAGTCAGGGGTGCTATTCATCAGGTTCTGACAGGTTCTGGAGAACCGGTAGCGGAAATTTTAAGTAGTTTGGAGAACTGGCAAATACCACCTCTGGCTGGCCCCAGAGTGGGGTGGGAATGGAGATTTTGCAATATCCTTCCGCCAGGAGTGTGGAGGGAATGGGGATTTTGCAGTATCCTTCCCCTGCCACGCCCACCAAGCCACGCCCACCAAGCCACACCACGCCTACCAAGCCACGCCCACAGAACTGGTAGTAAAAAAAAATTGAATTCCACCACTGGTTGGGGTCATCTAAAAGTTATAGTTTCACTTTAGCACAGGTAACAGTTAGGATCATTTAAAGGTTAGTTTCCCTTTAACACAACTATATACATTCAGGGGTGAAATCCAGCAGGTTCTGGAGAACTGGTAGCGGAAATTTTGAGCAGTTCAGAGAACCGGCAAATGCCATCTTTGGCTGGCCCCAGAGTGGGGTAGGAATGGAGATTTTACAATATCCTTCCCCGAGGAGTGGGGGGGGAATGGGGATTTTGCAGTATCCTTCCCCTGCCACGCTCACCAAGCCACGCCCACCACACCACATTATGCCCACCAAGCCACGCCCACAGAACTGGTAGTAAAAAAAAAATGGATTTCACCACTGTATACATTCAATACATAACAGTAGGGACCATGAAGGAACCCAAACCTAATGTATAGCATCAAGTTGGAGAAAACTGAGCTAAGGCTGTGCCTTTCCAGTTTCATTGTTTTCAATAAATGTTCTTTAAAAAAGAAACATACAGTCTGCTTTGCTCCGTTAGGATAATTAGTTTGTTGCTCACCACAGAAACAAAAGGCTTGAACAGTAGTCTCCCACATCGGTATTTACACGGGTATCAAAATTGTTTTCCTAAAAGCAAACAAATTACCTGTAATCCTTTTCTTCAGTAATTACCTGTAATCATTTTCTTCGGTAGTCACTTTTAAACACAAGATTATACCAATGCTCCAATATATTATTCATTCAAAGATTCCTATAACTATACACAGAATTATTAAATATAAATAGATGTGCTCCTCTCTCTACCGTGTTTCCCCGAAAATAAGACCCTGTCTTATGTTTTTTTGAACCCTGAAATAAGTGCTTGGCCTTATTTTCGGGGAGGTCTTATTATTTTGGGGTGCGTGGAGCCAGACAGGGCTCCTCTTGCCATCTTACCTGATTTCCAGCTCTGTCTCCCTAACCCTAACCAGAGGAAATGGCAGGGAACGGCTGCACATGCGTTTAAATATTTTGGGGGAGGGTGTTGTGGCTCCGTTACCTGAGCCTGTGTCATCAGCAGGAGAGGACTCCGAGAGTGAAGGAGAGGAGTGGGCAAGGCCTCCCTCTCCAGGACCCTCCTCTCTGGCAATGCCTTCAGTGTCCGCCGAAGGGCAAGAGATAGGGCCAGGGCCAAGCACGTCCACGCAGCCACAGATGGCCAGTGATGAGGGTAATGAGTCTTGGCTGGATCCACGCCAGCGTCGCAGAGATAAGCGCGCGCAACAGAAGAAAAGGCGTGCCCGAGATTAGGCTGAGTCACTGGACCACACCCCACAGGATATAAAAGGGAGCGTGGTGGCCAGTCAAACCTTGTGACGAACAAAGCTGAAGCTTCCACGCCATTCTGCATTGCCGGACTTTTGCTATAGACTTCGCTGGATTATCTCTGGACTTGATTGACTCCGTAATTATTGAGCTGTTTCTTTTGATGTACCAGGAGTGGGGAGAAGTTATCTCTCCTCTTCGTAAATAATAAACTCTTGGCAGGCAGCCACTAGGTTGTTGCCAAGTTCCGTTATCATAAGGAAAAGGATTTTGCCGGCTGGTTTGGTCTTTAACTCTTGAATGTCTGTTGGTGTGTGTGCGTGTGGTTGAGGACAGAACAGAGGGCTTACTTTCAGGGGGGAGGGGCTTATTTTAGCTCATGAGCTCAAAAGCCGATTGGGCTTCTTATCAGGGGATGTCTTATTTTCGGGGAAACAGGGTAGATGGTCTTCCTCATTTGCCATTGTCTCTGCATCCAATTGATTATAATATATACTAATTTTATTGGTTGTTTGGTTCTCTACAGTTAGTCCTTGACTTATTTATTTATTTATTTATTTGTTTAAATTTCTATACCGCCCTTCTCCAAATAGGACTCAGGGCAGTGCACAGCCTAAGTAAAAATAAAGCATACAAAATTTAAAAAACAGTATTAAAATAATTAGATATTCTGGCCGTAAATTAAAACAACCCAATTTAAAACCAATTTAAATTTAGCTCAAGCCAGCCCAGCTAGTTGAAATAAATAAGTTTTCAGGGCCCGACGAAAAATCCGGAGTCTGTTATTATACGTAACTCCGGGGGAAGGTTATTCCAGAGGGGTGGGCGCCGTCACAGAGAAGGCTCTCCCCCTGGGGGTCGCCAGCCGACATTGTCTGGCGGACGGCACCCTGAGGAGGCCCTCTCTGTGCAAGCGTACTGGCGGTGGGAGGCTATTGGTGGCAGTAGGCGGTCTCGTAAGTACCCCGGCCCTAAGCCATGGAGCGCTTTAAAGGTGGTCACGCTTTAAAGGTGACTTAGAACAGTTCATTTAGTGACCATTCAAAGTTACAAGGGTGGTGAAAAAAGTGACTTATGATCGTTTTTCCACACTTACGACGGTTGCGCATCCCCCATGGTCGCGTGTTCAGAATTCAGACGCTTGGCAACTGACTCGTATTTACGACGGTTTCAGGGTCCCCGGATCATGTGATCCTCTTTGTGTGACCTTCTGACAAGCAAAGTCAATGGGGAAGCAGATTCACTTAACAACCGTGTTAGTAATTTAACAGTTGCAGTCGTTCACTTAACGACTGGGGCAAGAAAGGTCGTAAAATGGGGCGAAACTCAATAAATGTCTCGGCAGCAGAAATTTTGGGTTCAGTTGTGGTTATAAGTTGAAGGCTACCTGTAGTTATAAGGACATAATAAATAAAATAACTGCAGTTTCTCTTTCTACACTTTTAAGTGTCAAGGTTCACTGAAGAGAATTCCACAGGGAATTCTGAGGGGAAAAACTTTGGCTGATCCCTCATTGCCCCTCCTTAAAGCTGTAACCCTGGGCTCACTTCCCTTCAGTCAGGCTCAGTTCCAGATAATTGTATGTTTTCTTGGCAACAATACAGAAGGGGAATAGTTTGTCACTGCTGCCTTTCGGAAAGCTTTTTGTTTGTTTGTGTTTTTACTTCTTCAATCTAGCCTACAGCCTTGGGTTTTTGCTGGTGATCTCTCATCCAGCTACAAAGTCAGCCTGTCCCACTAAATTTAATGACACTAACCTCTGACTTAGGTCCTACATAGGAATGTAGTGGGCAAATATTTAAAGAGGAGATCTGTCTGTCCCTCCGTCTATCTGTCCATCCATAATTTCATTATCTATCTATCTATCTATCTATCTATCTATCTATCTATCTATCTATCCAGTGGTGGGATTCAGCCAGTTTGCACCACTTTCTGAGCAGTTTGGTGAACTGGTTGTTGGAAGAAATCATTAGGGCAGAGAACCGGTGGTTAAATTATTTGAATCCCATCTATTATCTATCTATCTATCTATCTATCTATCTATCTATCTATCTATCATCTCTCTCTCCATCTATCCATCTGTCCATAATTTCATTTCTGTCTGTCTGTCTGTCTCTCTTTCTCTCTCATCTATCCATCTGTCTGTCTTCCATCTCTCTCAATATCTATCATCTGTCTGTGTCTGTCTCTCTCTCTCTCTCTCTCTGTGATCTATCCATTTTTTCTTTCTCTCTGTGTATCATCTCTCTGTCTCTCTTCCATCATCTCTCTCTATATATATTTTTCATCCATCTATATATTATCTATAATCTATCTATATGTCTATCTGTCTTCTATCTCACTTTCTCTATCTATCCTCTCTCTGTATCCATCCATCCATCCATCCATCCATCCATCATCCATCCATCCATCCATAATTTCATCATCTATCTATCTATCTATCTATCTATCTATCTATCTATCTATCTATCTTCTCTCTCTTTCTCTTTCTGTATCTAATCAATCTATTTGTCTGTTTTCCATCTCTCTCAATATCAATCATCTATCTGTCTTCTGTCTGTGCCTGTCTGTCTATCGCTGTCATCTATCCATCTGTCTTTCTTCTCTCTCTCTGTATCATCTCTCTCTCTCTCTGTCTCTCTTCCATTATCTTTCTCTCTCTCTCATCTATATATCATCTATATATTATCTATCATCTATCTGTCTGTCTGTCTATCTTCTATCTAACCTTCTCTATCTATCCTCTCTCTATCCATCCATCCATCCATCCATCCATCCATCCATCCATCCATCCAGTGTTGGGATTCAAGTAATTTAACAACCAGTTCTCTGCCCTAATGATTTATTCCAATAACCAGTTTGCCAAACTGCTCAGAAAGTTAACAACCGGTTCTCCCAAAGTGGTGCGAACTGGCTGAATCCACCACTGCATCCATCCATCCATCCATCCATCCATGCATCCATCCATCCATCCATGCATGCATCCATAATTTAATTTCTCTTTCCCTCCCCCCTCCCTCTCCTCTTTTTAAACCACCCATCTCCCCCAGTTTTAGTTTTCGAACACAAACTGCAAGATTGTGATCCTCTCTGCCTTGTGCTGTTGTAGGTGGATGTATTCACCGTCAAAGCCATTGACTTGGGAGAACTGAAGAAACTGAGAATTCGCCATGATGATTCTGGAAGCAATTCAGCCTGGTTCCTGGAAAGAATTGACATCATTGACACCAAAGAGGATAGCATGTGAGTCAAGGGTAATTAGCCAGGCAGCTACTCCAAATTAGTCTCTCAACATTCAATTTGTTGGAATTAGGATCACAATCCATAGGAGAAATGGATGGTCTAGGTAGTCCTCATTTTTTTTATCCTTGTCTCCTTATCTGTTTTTGAAGTGGAGCTTTAGTATGTCATTCATGGGTCAAATGTGTCCCCCCCCGCGTTCCAAATGGTTCCAAAACTCAAAATTGCTGACATTTGTTCAGGAAAGTGTGAGAATCAAATGTAAAATATTTTTTATGTTGCTCCTGTGACCTTTCTGGATGCTTTTGCTCTTAGAAATTGTGTATTTTTGCCTACTTTGGTATTCTACCAAGTACATTCTACCAAGAAGATGCCACCAGAATAGAATAGAATAGAATAGAAAGAATAGAATAGAATAGAATAGAATAGAAATAGAATAGAATAGAACAGAATACAATAGAATAGAATAGAATAGAATAGAATAGAATAGAATAGAATAGAGAAGAGAAAGAGAAGAAGAAGAAAAGAAAAAAAGAAAAGAAAAGAAAAGAAAAGAAAAAGAAAAGAAAAGAAAAGAAAAGAAAAAAAAAGAAAAGAAAAGAAAATATGGATTGGACTAGACTAGACTAGACTAGACTAGACTAGAAAATATGGAATGGAACGGAACGGAACGGAACGGAACAGAACAGAACAGAACAGAATAGAACAGAATAGAATAGAAAATATGGAATGGAGTGGAGCAGAATAGAAAATATGGAATGGAATGGAATGGAATGGAATAGAATAGAATAGAATAGAATAGAATAGAATAGAATAGAATAGAATAGAATAGAATAGAATAGAAAATATGGAATGGAATGGAAGAGGAGAGGAGAGAGGAGGAGGAGAGGAGAGGAGAGGAGAAGAGAAGAGAAGAGAAGAGAAGAGAAGAGAAGAGAAGAGAAGAGAAGAGAAGAGAAGAGAAGAGAAGGATGGATGGATGGATGGATGGATGTGGGGTGGGGTGGGGTGGAATAGAAAATATGGAATGGAGTGGAATGGAGTGTCCCGTAGTACTGTCCTGAGGAAAGGAATTGAAACAGTTTGTGTCCAGGATGTGAAGGGTCTGCAGGTATCTTCTCAGCCCTCCTTCTGACCCGTGCAATCTGCAGGTAAGGCGACTTATTCTGCTGAAAGGTTATGCTTGCGGTGAAATGGGCCTGCTTCTCCTCATCGAAGGGTTTTTCCAGAGTCAACAATTGGGCGTCGGCAGAGCGGGAAGATGCTAAACCATATTATCTTTGCAGTTATTATTTCCCCTGCCAGAGATGGTTGGCAGTGGAGGAAGATGACGGTCAGATTGCCAGGGAGCTGGTCCCAGTGGCTGAAGCCTTTGTGATGAAGGGTTCGGAGAATGCAGGCTCTGTTGCCACCCTCGGCCTGGAACAGAAAGGTTTGCTATTGTCCATCTATATCAGTGGTGGGTTCCTCCCGGTTCGGTCCGGTTCAGCCGAGCCGGTAGCAGTGACGATATGACATCACTAAACTGGTTCTCCCACCCCTGCCCTCCACCCCCCCCCACCCACCCACGTTATTCTTACCTTCTATTTGGTCCCACCCCCAATCTATTGCTGCCTCCTGAGTCCCAGCTGATGATTAGAGGGAAAAAAACTGTTTAAACTCTTGCCGGGGGGCTTCAAAGGGCCGCCCTACAGCTGATCAGTGTTAAAAGCAAACAAATGAGTCGGGTCGTAAGTGCGAGGACTGGTCATAAGTGCAAGGACCTTCCAGAAATGACTCTGACCAGCTAGCCACGCCCACCTAGTCACATGACCTCCCAACCACACCCACAAAATAAGCCACGCCCACAGAACCGGTAGTAAAAAAATTTAGAACCCACCCTGATCTGTATGCCGTGTAGAAGAAACTGAGCCTACGGAGTAGCACAAACTTAAGTAAACCATCATTTGTGGTTTGGGAGTGTGGCTGTTTTAGAGCAAAGCCCATTGGACTTGAGGCTGATTATAGGAATGTTTTGCAGACTGAAGCTATGACCAAATGAAGAATCTGCTGTATTTTTTTCGGGTTGGGGAACTGATCGAAGACAATATTTGTAGCTCAGGGTTGAATCCTCAGGTCCTTGGTGCTCTCTGGGCTTGGTGGTTTTCTTGCAGACGTTTCATGACCCACCTAGGTAGCATCATCAGTGCTACCTGATTACCAAACCTAGTTTGGGTAATTAAACATCTGCCAGAAAACCACCCAGCTTAGAGAGCACCAAGGACCCACGGTGTGGGAAACTATAAGTCTTCAAGGTGTGGACTAATAGGTAACTTAAGTAACAAGGGAGCAGTTTTAAGAGAGTTAGCTGAAATGGTATAGAGCAGGGGTCAGCAACCTGCGGCTCTGGAGCCGCATGTGGCTCTTTCACCCCTCTGCTGCAGCTCCCTGTTACTCAATCGGCACGCGATTTATTGAGCTTTTCCACCCCCAGTAGGCCAACCATGGATAACTCCAAGAAAAGAAAAGTTTCAGAAGAAAACAGAACATTTAATTCAACTACATATGCTAGTTTTGTGGCCACTCAAGAAATAGTCAGGCACAGGAAGGGTTTTGTGGCTCCCGGTGTTTTCTTTTCTGTGGGAAACGGGTCCAAATGGGTCTTTCAGTGTTTAAGGTTGCAGACCACTGGTATAGAGCTTCCTGCCTAAGCAGAGGGTTGGACTAGAAGACCTTCAAGGTCCTTCCATCTCATCTCTCTCTTCTCTTCTCTTCTCTTTCTCTTTCTCTTCTCTTCTCTTCTCTTTCTTCTCTTTCTCTTTCTCTTCTCTTCTCTTCTCTTCTCCTCTCCTCTCCTCTCCTCTCCTCTCCTCTCCTCTCCTTCTCTCCTCTCCTCTCCTCTCCCTTCCTTTCCCTTCCCTTCCCTTCCCTTCCCTTCCCTTCCATTCAGTGGTGGGTTCCTCCCGGTTTGGCCGGTTTTCCCGAGCCGGTAGCGTTGACGATATGACACCACCGAACCGGTTCTGCCCCCCCGCCCCCCACGCCCCACCCCCCCGCGTTATTCTTACCTTTTATTTGGCTCCACCCCCAATCTATTGCTGCCTCCTGAGTCCCAGCTGATGGCTAGAGGGAAAAAAAGCTGTTTAAACTCTTGCCACGGGGCTTCAAAGGGCCGCCCTACAGCTGATCAGTGGTAAAAGAAAACAAATGAGTAGACCAGTGCCTGCAAAAATAAATGGGTAGACCAGCGCCTGCAAAAATACATGAGTAGATCAGTGCCTGCAAAATAAATGGGTAGACCAGCGCCTGCAAAAATACATGAGTAGATCAGTGCCTGCAAAAATAAATGGGTAGACCAGCGCCTGCAAAAATACATGAGTAGACCAGTGCCTGCAAAAATAAATGGGTAGACCAGTGCCTGCAAAAATAAATGGGTAGACCAGCGCTGCAAAAATACATGAGTAGATCAGTGCTGCAAAAATACATGAGTAGACCAGTGCCTGCAAAAATACATGAGTAGATCCAGTGCCTGCAAAAATAAATGGGTAGACCAGCGCCTGCAAAAATACATGAGTAGACCAGTGCCTGCAAAAATAAATGGGTAGATCAGTACAGCTCTGCAAGCAGTTAAAAGCATGGTAGACCAGTACCTCTGCTAAATCCTAAAGAACTGTCACATGACCATCAAGCCATGCCCACAAAATAAGCCACGCCCACAAAACCAGTAGTAAAATTTTTTAGAACCCACCCCTGATTCTATTCTATTCTATTCTATTCTATTCTATTCTATTCTATTCTATCTATTCTATTTCTATTCTATTCTATTCTATTCTATTCTATTCTATTCTATTCTATTCCTTGTGTGTCCAATCACATTTGGCCAATAAAAAATGTTTTGTTCTGTTCTCAGGTTTTTCTTTTCACTCTTTTCCCATTTTAATAGTTTGGGTCACCTTTCCCCCCCTCCCTCTAAAAGGGGGTTGTTAAAATTTGAACCTCTCCCTTGTTGCATTCTACGATGACAGTTAGATCACGCTAATGAAGAGGCTACTAGTTCTGGCTTTCGGCTCACTTTTATGAAACCTTTCTTGTTTCATTAAAAACAAAGTTGTAAAGGTGGAACCAAAAGAGAAATAAAATTTGGACTCTCTCAGAAAAGGCCCCTCCCAAACAGAGATTCTTCTTTTGACAGCTAATTCAACGACATTCACAGTAAGAGTGAAAACAGGAGACAAGAAAAATGCCGGGACGGACTCCAATGTCTTTATCATCCTTTACGGATCCAAAGATGACACAGGTAGGAGCCAGTGGTGAAAATCTAAAATTTGTTACTACCGGTTCTGTGGGCGTGGCTTGGTAGGGGTGGTGGTAATGTGATTGGGTGGGCGTGGCCAATTATTTTTTTAACTTTTAAAACCATTTTTTCTACAACCTCTTCAGTGAAAAGGTTGTAAAAAAATGTTTTCAAAAGTCTCTGACGATCCCAGCTGAGTTGCCTGATGGGCAGAGGCTTTTTTTCTTTTAAATGCCTCTGACGATCCAAGCTGAGTTGCCTGATGGTCAGAGGCTTTTTTTCTTTTAAATGCCTCTGATGATCGCGCGGCTTAGCTGGGCATGTGGGGGGGCAGAGATTTTTGCTACCGGTTCTCCGAATAACCTGCCTCCATCGCTACTGGATCGGGTGATCCGGTCCGAATCGGGAGCATTTCACCCCTGATAGGAGCCAAGCTCACCTTTGCAAACCATTCAGGTGGATATTGGCCACTGATTTAATGAGTAGCCTAGGATGCAGGAAAATGGGCTCAGTACTTTGATTGGCTCCTTCTGCAAGTCTTTTTATCTTCACGTGTTTGTTTGCTCATCAACGCAGTTGGTCCTCGACTTACAACCGTTGGTTTAGTGACGGTTCAAAGTTACAACAGCAGTGAAAAAAGTGACATTTTTCACACAACCGTGGCAGCATCCCCGTGGTCACGCAATCAAAATTCAGCCGATGGGCAACTGAATCATATTTATGACGGTTGCAATGTCCCGTGATCCCCTTTTGTGACACGCAATTAACAGATTAACAGAGTTGGAAGGGACCTTATAAGTCAGTGATGGCTAACCTTTTTGCCATCGGGTGTCAAAAGCAGGGGGAGAGCGGGGGGGGGTCGTGTGTGCATGTGCTCACACCCATAATTCTATGTGCCCCATCCCCTGTGCATGTGCATGCGACCCCCGCACGCTCCTCCCGCTTTTGGCATGCAATGGCACGGTGGGCCCAGTAGGCCCGTTTTTTGCTCCAGAGGGCTTCAGGGGGAAGGGAGGCTGTTTTAACCCTCCCCAGGCTCCTAGAAAGGCTCTGGAGCCTGGGGAGAGCAAAAAATGGCCCTTCCCCACCCACCCCTCAGGCCCTCCGGAGGCAGGAAACAGCCTGTTTCCCTACTTCTGGCGGATCCAGAAGGCCTGAAAATCAGCTGGTGGAGCTGAGCTCACATGCCCACCGATATGGCTCTGCGTGCCACCTGTGGTACACGTGCCATAGGTTCACCATCACGGTTATAGGTCATCTAGTCCAACCCCCGCTCAAGCAGGAGACCCTACACCATTTCTGACAAATGCCTGTGCAATCTTTTCTTGAGAGTCACAAGTGATGAAGCTCCCACAACTTCCGAAGGCATTTTCTGTTCCATGGGTTGATTGTTCTCACTGTCAGAAAGTTCCTCCTCATTTCCAGGTTGAATCTCTCCTTGGTCAGTTTCCATCCATTGTTCCTTCTCTGGCCTTTGGGTGCTTCGGAAAATAGCTTGACCCCCTCCTCTTCGTGGCAGCCCCTCAAGAGAATAGAATAGAATAGAATAGAATAGAATAGAATAGAATAGAATAGAATAGAATAGAATAGAATAGAATAGAATAACAGAATTGGAAGGGACCTTGGAGGTCTTCTAGTCCAACCCCCTGCCCAGGCAGGAAAACCTACATCACTTCAGACAAAGGGTTATCCAACATCTTCTTAAAAACTTCCAGTGTTGGAACATTCCCTGAGATATTGAAACACTGCTATCATGTCTCCCCTGGTCCTTCTCTTCACTAGACTAGCCATGCCCAGTTCCTGCAACTGTTCTTCATATGTTTTAGTCTCCAGTCCTCTCATCATCAACGGGGAAGCCAGATTTACTTTACAATTGTGTTACTAACTTAACAACTGCAGTGATTCACTTAACAACAGTGGCAAGAAAGGTTGTAAAATGGGGCAAAATTCACTTAACAACTGTCTCACTTAGCAACAGAAATTTTGGGCTCCTAATTTTGGTCATAAGTCGAGGACTACCTGTACAGCTGAATCAATTTTTTTTTTTACTTTTACATCTAAAATAAATATTTTGGGAGACATGACCAGACTTTTTTGGGGGTGGATGGGTGAGTGTGAGAGTTGTCCCTGGGGCCTTCTGAGGTTCCTTTCCAGCTGATTATTAAGAGCAGAGTAATTTATGTTCAGCCTCGGTAATAACCAGAAGGAGTTCCCTCCTGCTGTTTCACTCTTGATTTTTACAGCAAGTGTACAAACTCTGGGAAACGTAAAACCAATCTCTGGATGGATTTTACGACTGTCTAAAGATTGAAAATGATGTGGAAATATGCAATGTGCATCTGATCCATATTGTGTCCTAAACAGGTGCAACCTTTAAAGTAGGGAAAATAATTTATCCTACCTGAAAATTGCTGGGTGTTGGACAGCATATAAATTTAATGTGTTATTTTGGTTCATCGCACAGCCAGCCAGATGTTGAGACTGCATTTGGCATTTTTGTCCACCTATCGAGTCCTATTACTTCCTTGTAATTAAAATGTCCTAACGACAGGTACTGCTTAACAAGGGAAAGGGCTAAATGTCTGTGGAGATTCTCAGTCATCCATCCAGGTCACGGTTCTGTTCTGCCCCAGCTACGGACCCCAAAGAACGCAGCACACACAAAGTCCATTCAAACCTTAATTTACTGAATAAACCAGTCTTTTACAACAACGGCTGTTAATTAATTGCATTAACAGCCACCAAGAATTCAAAGAATAATAACTGAAAACTTACTATGGTTGGCAGAACGCCCAGAAGCAATTTGCAGGAAGCTGATAAGATAAGCAAGACAAGACACAAAGGTATGTGAACAAAGTTGTTCCCTGCAAATTGCTTCAGTCGGTGTTCCTCCTTAAATAGGCTAAGAGAGTGGCCAATTAGCTCCTAGCCTTACTCTCGAGGGGACCTCCTCCTGAGGAGCCACTCCTGCCTTTTGGCAGCTCTGCGCACCCGTGCATCGAGAAGAGGCTCCTCCTCTTCGTCCTCTTCACTTAAGGGAGCTTCTGGAGGTTCTGAAGGTCCTGGCTGAATCCCTGCCTCTGGCACCACATCTTCTCCAGCTTCCTCATTGTCCGACTCGAGTGCCAGCTGCACAGGCTGCTGGCGCAGCACCACACCAGCCTCCTCGCTGTCTGAATCAGCTACTAGCTGCACAGGCCGCGTACGGGCCACAACAGGTTGTCTCAAAGGTGCTTTTTTCAAGAAACAAGTGGACTTCTTGGTTTTTCTTTGGAGACATTTCGCTTCTCATCCAAGAAGCTTCTTCAGTTCTGACTGGATGGTTTATCTGCATTTAAAAGACACAGGCCACTCAGTTTGAAGACAGCAAAGACCACATTTTGGATAGAGAAGACCACTGCTTTGAAAGAGGAGTCAAAGAGGCCATCTGTGTCCAAATTGAACTGCCCTCCCTCAATAGAGGGGGAGGGGTATGACGACATCTATCTCCAATCTACAACATAGTCCTTTCAACAGTTCCAAGAAGGCTCCATAGTCCACACCCATTTGCACCACTCAAGTGACACTGAGGACCAGTGCTGAAACGTAAAATTTGTTACTACCGGTTCTGTGGGCGTGGCTTGGTGGGGGGTGGGAAATGTGACTGGGTGGGCATGGCCAACTTTTTTTCTTTGAAACTTTTAAAAGCATTTTTTTTCTGAGTTGCCTAATCGTCAGAGGCTTTTGTTTTTAAAAGAAAAAAAAAAGCCTCTGACGATCAGGCAACTCAGCTGGGATCGTCAGAGCCTTTGAAAGGCATTTTTTCTACAACCTCTTCGGCCAAAGAGATTGTAGAAAAAATGCTTTTAAAAGGCTCTGACTATCCCAGCTGAGCCGCGCGATCATCAGAGGCTTTTTTTTTTTTTTAACTTTTAAAAGCAGTCACTGCTGGCAACCATCCAAGTTATTTTCATTTGTAACAATGGGAATGTGTGATTAAAACCCAAACAGGGACAATCTACTTGAAGGCTTCCAAGACTAACCGGAACAAATTTGAGCGAGATAAAGTTGATGTCTTCACGGTAGAATGTGTGGACCTCGGAGATCTGAAGAAGATAAAGATTGGCCATGATAATACAGGTAGGATGGCATGAAATTCCTTGAAGGCTTGTAGGATGGGTTGATGCCCTCTATTCAGTAGTGGGTTTCAAGATTTTTTACTACCGGTTCTGTGGGTGTGGCTTGGTGGATGTGGTAGGGGAAGGATACTGTAAAATCTCCATTCCCAACCCACTCCAGGGGAAGGATACTGCAAAATCCCCAATTCCCTCCCGATCAGCTGGGACTCGGGAGGCAGAGAATAGATGGGGACGGGGCCAGTCAGAATTTTTACTACCGGTTCTCTGAACTACTCAAAATTTCCGCTACCGGTTCTTCAGAACTGGTCAGAACCTGCTGAAACCCACCTCTGCCTCTATTCCTCTCCTTTGGGAAACTAAAGATTTACCTGGATTTAAAAATGTTCCTTCCCCCAAGTTTAGAGGTTAAACCTGGAAGTTATAGAGTATACAGGTTTACCTTGGTTCCAGAGCAGGGGTCTCCAAACTTGGCAACTTTAAGACTTGTGGACTTCAACTTCCAGAATTCCAGCCAGCTAAAACTTAATAAAATATTATTTAAGTTCACAATATACTTTAACACACTATTAATATTAATATTAATAATACAATTAGATTACCTAATTTAAGAGCCTTGGTAGTACAGTGGTCTAAAGCACCCTGTTATTAAGACCAGCTGCCTGCAATTACTGCAGGTTCGAATCTCGCCAAGGCTCAAGGTTGACTCAGCCTTCCATCCTTTCTAAGGTAGGTAAATTGAGGACCCAGTTGTGGGGGCAATAAGCTGACTTTGTATAAATATACAAAAGGATGAAGGCTATTGCTTAGCACATTGTAAGCCGCCCTGAGTCTCCGGAGAAGGGCGGCATATAAATCAAATTAAAAAAAAATAATCTTAAACTTCCACCTATAAACTTAGCTTATTTTTTTAACTATAATAGATTCTATTATCTGTCTCTATTATCTATATAATAGATTCTGTTATCTATTATCAAGGGATGTGGTGGCTCAGTGGCTAAGACGCTGAGCTTGTCGATCGAAAGGTCGGCAGTTCAGCGGTTCGAATCCCTAGTGCTGCGTAACGGAGTGAGCTCCCGTTACTTGTCCTAGCTTCTGCCAACCTAGCAGTTCGGAAGCATGTAAAAAATGCAAGTAGAAAAATAGGGACCACCTTTGGTGGGAAGGTCACAGCGTTCCGTGCGCCTTCGGTGTTTAGTTTTGCCGGCCACATGACCACGGAGACGTCTTCGGACACTGCTGGCTCTTTGGCTTTGAAACGGAGATGAGCACCGCCCCCTAGAGTCAGGAACGACTAGCACATATGTGCGAGGAGAACCTTTACCTTTACCTTTTACTATTTTCCCTATTTGTATTTTCTGTTTTTTCTTTTTATTAATCTATTTGATCATTATCCATTATCATTATCTATCGTCTCTTAACCTTTGCAGGTCATTCTGAAGGGTGGTTTTTAGATTGGGTTGAGGTGGATGCTTCTTGCCTTGGACTTTGCCTGAAGTTTCCTTGTGGTCGTTGGCTGGATAAATCTGAAGATGACGGAGCCATCGAAAGGGTCTTGTTTCCTGCAGAACTGCAAACGACGACGTACACCCCATGTGAGTAGCATGGTAGCAAGACCAACCTGCCTTCGGTCTGAAAGAAAAGAAGTACAGGTAGTCCTCGACTTACAACAGTTCGTTTAGTGACCGTTCAAAGTTACGACGGCACTGAAAAAAGTGATTGATGGCGTTTTTCACACTTACAACCCCTGCAGCAGCCCCGTGGCCTGTGATCAAAATTCAGACGTTTGGCAGCTGACTCGTATTTTATGACGGTTGCAGTGTCTCGAGGTCATCTGATCCCCTTTTGCGACCTTCGGACAAGCAAAGTCAACGGGGGAAGCCAGATTCGCTTAATGACCAAATGATTCAGTTAAGAGCTGCAGTGACTCACTTGTGGCAAGCACGGTCGTAAAATGGGGCAAAATTCACTTAACAAATGTCTCACTTATCAACAAAAATTTGTGACTTGCAACCACAATTGAGCCCAGATTTCAGCTGATAAGCAAGAAAGTCGTTGAGTTTTGCCCCTTTTTGTGACGTTTCTTGCCACAGTTGCTAAGCGAATCACTGCAAGTTGTTAAGTTAGCCACACGGTCGTTTAGTGAATCTGGCTTCCCCATTGACTTTGCTTATCTGAAGGTCTCAAAAGGGGCTCTCGTGACCCCGGAACACTGCGACTGTCATAAATACGAGACAGTTGCCAAGCATCTGAATTTTGATCCCTGTGGCCACAGGGATTTTCACTGGTTATAAGTGTGAAAAATGGTCATACGTCCAGTGCTGTTGTAGCTTCAAATGGTCACTAAACGAATTGTTGTAAATCAAAGACTACCTGTACTGATATTATTACTGGATTACTATATTTTGTTACTTGGGGGTTAACTACAATAGGCACAGTGGAACTTAGTTTCAAGTATACGTGGTCCTCGACTTACGACCAGAATTGAGCTCAAAATTTTTGTTGCTAAGTGAATTCTGCCCCGGTTTACGAACTTTCTCGCTACATTTGTTAAGTGAATCCCTGCAGTTGCTAAGTCAGTAACCCGGTTGTTAAGTGAATCTGGCTGCCCCATTGACTTGGCTTGTCAGAAGGTCTCAAAAGGGGATCGGGTGACCCTGGGGGACACTGCAACGGTCATAAATGTGAGTCAGTTGCCTAGCCTCTGAATTTTGATCGCGTGAGCGTGGGGATGCTACAAACGGTCGTAAGTGTGAAAAATGGTTATACAAGTCCCATTTTTCAGCGCTGTTGTAACTTTGAACGGTCACTAAATGAACTGTTGTAAATCGAGGACTCACTGTACATTCAGGTGGCCTGGGATGTTAATCTTGAGAATTGCTTCAGATAATTTTTTTTTAGAAGAGAAAACATATTGGCAGATGCTTGTACTTCAGTGGTAGGATTCAAATTTTTTTATACCGGTTCTGTGGGCGTGGCTTGGTGGGCGTGGCATGGCTTGGTGGGTGTGGCTTGGTGGGCAGGGGAAGGATACTGTAAAATCTCCATTCCCACCCCACTCCAGGGGAAGGATACTGCAAAATCCCCATTTCCTCCCGATCAGCTGGGACTCGGGAGGCAGAGAATAGATGGGGGTTGGGCCAGTCAGAATTTTTACTACCGGTTCTCCGAACTACTCAAAATTTCCACTACCGGTTCTCCAGAACTGGTCAGAACCTGCTGAATGCCACCTCTATTGTACTGCCCCTTTTTTAATGTGCATAATGCTTGGGTCCATTTGACATTTCATGCTTTTCTTCAATCCTTCTGAGTAAATATGAAAATTGTCATCATTGATTTGACAAGGAAGGCTGCTCTGTGGTTCACAGGATTCCTCCACTCAAACAAATTCTTTCTGCCTTTACCAATAATCTAATTTTCCCATCATTACCCTTACAGATTATTTACTTTGCAAGAGGAAGAAAAAAAAAAAAGTCTAATGATCTGCTAACATTTCAGAAAGCTTAGTTGTTAGCAAGCCGGAAAGGGCTTAGGATGTTATAACATGTCCCAATTAAATAACTGTACTGGGAAAATGATTGTTTAACTGTTATAGGAGGAAGCAAAAGAAAGTGAGGGTTTTTGCACCTTGGATGAAATATTAAAATTCTGTTCTGTTACTGAAAACTATAGCTGCACCCTTCCTTTTGTTGTATGTCAACCAGTGTGATGTGGTTTCTCCTTCCTTCGAATAATATATGCCATCTAAATAGAATAGAATAACACAGTTGGAAGGGACCTTGGAGATCTTCTAGTCCAACCCCCTGCTCAAACAGTGATGGCTAACCTTTTTGCCGTCACGTGCCAAAAGTGGGAGGAGAGCGGGGGAGTCGTGCACGTGTTTGCCCACACTCTTAATTCAATGCCCCCCTGCGTCCCGTCCCCCAACGAAAACACGTGCGACCCGCATTCCCCCCTAATTTAATGTAATGTAATGTAATTTAAATCCCCATTTCCTCCTGATCAGCTGGGACTTGGGAGGCAGAGAATAGATGTGGGCGGGGCCAGCCAGAATTTTTACTACCGGTTCCCTGAACTACTCAAAATTTCCGCTACCGGTTCTCCAGAACTGGTCAGAACCTGCTGAAACCCACCTCTGCTAGAGATTACAGAAAGGAACTGGTCTTAAAATGATTGAGGTCAAATAGGCATAGGTCTGTGAAAGGAAGACTCAGCCAATCTTGACATTAGAGACAGAAATGACAAATTTTGATTCCTCATTAGAACAGATACAGATACATCCTTTAACCTAGTTCCTGAATTATTACAGGGAGGCCTTGACCTGACACCCATTTTGTTTTGTTTCCATCTGGCCAGTTGTTCCCTACGAAATTACTGTCTACACCAGTGACGTTTTTGGAGCAGGTACCGACGCTGACGTCTTTATCGTTCTGTACGGGGCTGACGGCATTTGCACTCAACAGAAACCCCTGTGCCAAAACAAGAGGGAACGAAGGATGTTCTTTAAGAGGAATTCTATAAATCAGTTCATCGTGGAGGTAAGGGGAAATGTGCTTTGGATCAGGGATGGTATTCACTTACTTTCCCTACCGGTTTGCAAATGTGAGCACGTGGATGTGCTTTGCTTGCTTGCGCGCCTTTCACGCATGGACACGGCCTCAAAAATGTACCTAAATAGGACGGCATAGAGCCGGGGCAGGTGGGCAAGTGAGCAGGCCCACTTGCGATTTCTGCTACCAGTTCGGGGGAACTGGTCCGAACTGGCTGAATACCACCTCTGCTTTGGATACTCCTGTTGTGGCTCCGTTGCCTGAGCCTGGGCTATCGACAGATGCAGGCTCTGAGAGTGAGGGAGAGGAATTGGCAAGGCCTCCCTCTCCAGGACCCTCCTCTCTGGCAATGCCTCCGGAGGACACCGAAGGCCAAACGATAGGCTCAGAGCCAAGCACGTCCCCGCAGCCACAGGTGGACAGCGACAAGGAAGATAAGTGCTGGCTGGACCCTCGACAGAGGTGCAGGGAGAAGCGTGCAGAGCAGAGGGGAAGGCGTGCCAGAGATTAGCTGAGTCACTGGACCACACCCCACAGGGTATAAATGTGGGTGTGGTGGCCGGTTCAGTTTGTGACGAGCAAAAACTGGAAATACTCCATGATCTCTGCGTTACTGGACTTTGCCTGCTTTATCGGACTGCATTTGGATTAATCCTTGTATTGTTGACACGCTGCCTGTTTTATCAGAATGCTGGCAGTCTAATCTTTGTTTTGTGTGAGTAAAGTCTGAATTGGCAGCTAGCCACTGGGTTGCTGCCAGCTTTATCTTCAAAGAGTTTTGTCGTGTGGCTTATTAACTCCGGGCCATCTGTGGGGGTGCGTGTGGGGTACGGGGACAGAACAACTCCCAGCAACTTGGGAACCATATGGCAGAGTTTAAAGAAGGAGCAGAAGGAGCTAGATTGCAAGAAATAGTCAGAACAGAACAGAACAGAACAGAACAGAACAACAGAAGTGGAAGGGACCTTGGAGGTTTCTAGTTCAACCCCCTTTCAAGCAGGAAACCCTGGCCTACACCATTCCAGAGAAGTGGCTGCCAGTCTCTTTTTAAAAGCCTCCGGTGTTGGAGCATCTACAACTTCTGAAAGCAAGTCGTTCCACTGGTTATTTTTTCTTACTGTTAAGGAAATTTCTCCTTAGTTCTAGGTGAGGATCTTTCCCTGATTAGTTTCCATCCATTGTTTCCTGTCTTGCCTTCAGGTGCTTTGGAAAATTAGAACAGAGTAGAGTAGAGTATTTATTTATTTATTTGTTTATTTATTGGTTCGATTTATATGCCGCCCTTCTCCGAAGACTCAGGGCGGCTAACAATGCGTTAAGCAATAGCCTTCATACTTTCGTATATACCTGCTTAGTAGGGCTTTCGGGAGCCCCCTAAGTGGTGTTCTTTTTTATACAAAGTCAGCTTATTGCCCCCACAATCCGGGTCCTCATTTTACCTACCTTAGAAAGGATGGAAGGCTGGGTCAACCTTGAGCCTGGTGAGATTTGAACTCGCAGTAATTGCAGGCAGCTGGCAGCTAAGTGCTACTTAACAGCACTTTAGTCCGTTGCACCACCAAGGCTCAAAGTAAAGTTAGAATAGAATAGAATAGAACAGAACAGAACAGAACAGAACAGAACAGAACAGAATAGAATAGAAGGGACCTCGGAGGTCTTCTAGTCCAACCCTCTGCTCGAGCAGGAGACCCTATACCCGTGGTAGTAAACCTGTGGCACGCGGGCCTGAACTGGCACGTGGAGTCATGTCGCTTGGCACGCGTGGCGTCTCCCATTCCTCTTCCGGGTTTCTGGCACGCATGCGCACACGACGATCAGCTGGCCTTTTCACATGCAGCAGTGCCGGAAACCGGAAGAGCTGGTCTTTTGTTTTCCAGCACATACGCATGCGTGGCAGTAACCAGAAGTAGCTTATCTGGCACGCACATGCCCCGTGGGCAGCCCCTCTTCCTGACAAGCACGCATGTTCTCCCTTTTCAGCACTTGGTGCCGCCTGTGCGCGCACATGCTCCCTTTTCGGCACTCAGTGCTGAAAAGAATCGCCATCACTGCCCTATACCATTTCAGACAAATAACTTTCCAATCTATTTTTAAAAACCTCCAGTGATGAAGCACCCACAACGTCTGAAGGCAACTTCTGTTCCATTGGTTAATTTTTTTCACTGACTCCCTCTTCTCTGTGTCAGCCCCTCAAATATCATGTCACTTCTAGTCACCTCTAGTCCTTCTTTTCACTAGATTAGACATCCCAAATTACTAATCATTGACATAATCCTTTCTGGCAATGTTTGACAAACTTGAGCATAATATCTATAAAGGTTGCTATTCATACAGGTCATGCTTGTCTCCAAAGTGCTTTTATTTTCAAATAAAAATGAATTAAAATGTACTTTAAAGGCAATTGGACGTCCTGAGTTACATCTTAAAGAAAACTCATGTGTTTCCTTCTCCTTCAAGAAACTTCTTCTGATTCCCCACCAGTTAGTTAGAACCAAAGAAGCTTCTTGGATCAGAAGTGAAACGTCTTAAAGAAAAACCAGTTGCCTTTAAAAGAAAAGCATTTTAGGGGTGATCTTGAGCATAGAAAGAAATCAAGTTAAGAAGGGTTTTATTATAAAATTGTACATGGTGTAAAACAGGGATCTTCTTTTTGGGGGTGGCATCATATTTGGAATTTTGAGAGCATGTTAAGTAAAGGTAAAGATTCCCCTCGCACATATGTGCTAGTTGTTCCTGACTCTAGGGGGCGGTGCTCAACTCCGTTTCTAAGCCAAAGAGCCAGTGCTGTCCGAAGACGTCTCCATGGTCATGTGGCTGGCATGATTCAACGCCGAAGGCACACAGAGCACTGTTTCCTTCCCACCAAAGGCGGTCCCTATTTTTCTACTTGCATTTTTTACATGCTTTCGAACTGCTAAGTTGGCAGAAGCTGGGACAAGTCACGGGAGCTCACCCCGTTACATGGCACTAGGGATTCGAACTGCTGAACCGCCGACTTTTCGATTGACAAGCTCAGCGTCTTAAGCCATGTTATGGGGATGTATAACTTGCTTTGGGGATATAGCACAAGATATCAGTTCCCCAGAAAGCAAACTTTGGAAGCTGATCTCATGACCATTTTAGGGTGTTCTGTAATCCTCAGCTTCCTCCAATCTTTTCTGAGAATGTGAACAGAATTGCAGACCAAATGCTGGGGGTTTTTTTTGTCTTTTGATGCTCATATTTGTTACAACAGGGTAGTTGACAATACCATCTCCCAATCACCGATGTCCCGTTTGTATCTGAAAACATCTCTGAATTTTTTGGGAAGCCAGTTGCTGTTTTATGTAACTCTTCTTTTTAAGAAAAAACAATAACCCTGATCATATAAAATGTAGACACGTACTGTAGATAATTGAGTTTTTTGTTCCCAGTTTATTTTAGCAGAAGGTGTTTTAACATTTATTAACACTGGTGCAATTGTGTTCTAGATGTCTCTCTCTCTCTCTCCCTTCCTCCCTCTCTCTCTCCCTCCTTCTCTCCCTCTCCCCCTCTATCCCTCCCTCCCTCCCTCCCTCCCTCTCCCTCTCTCTCTCCCTCCCCCCTCTCTCCTTCCCTCCCTCTCTCTATCCCTCCCTCCCTCTCCCTCTCTCTCTCTCCCTCCCCCCCTCTCTCCCTCCCTCCCTCTCTCTCTCCTCCCTCCCTCTCCCTCCCTCTCCCTCTCTCTCTCTCTCCCTCCCTCCCTCTCCCCCTCTCTCTCTCCCTCCCTCCCTCTCTGTCTCCCTTCCTCCCTCTCCCTCCCTCCCTCTCTCTCCCTCTCTCCCTCTCTCTCTCCAAAGTTTGTTTGTTACCTATCGCTAGTAGACAAATATGAAATCTGGAGTCCCAAAGATGCTTTTTCAAGAGGCTACTGGACTTCCTGGCTTTTCTTTGAAGACTTTTCACTTCTCATCCAAGAAGCCTCTTCAGCTCTGACTGGATGCTGGGGAATGGAAGGATTTCATTCAGCTTCTTGGATGAGAAGCAAAACATCTTCAAAGAAAAATCAGAAAGTCCAGTTGTCTTGAAAAAAGCACCTTTGGAAAAACCATGTCCTAGATGACTGAGAATCTCCATAAACATGAAATATGGACCAGTGTAACTGGTTTGTAAGAACAGACAGTAATAGTTGTAAGAATGCCAATATTTCTAACTATGCAGGGCTATTTTGCTGTAGCATTCTCTATTGCTGGATCTACATTGTATTTCATAGCTAAAACTTTAAAAACTGGTCTCAACTACATTAGATGAAATTAGACATTAGTCCCTCCTTAGACATACCCAATTCCAATAACTGTTCTTTGTATATTTTAACCTCCAGTCCTTTAATAATCTCTGTTATTGTGCCCTAATCATTTTATGTGCTGTTTTTGTGCATTTTGTGCATTCATGCTGTATTCTGTTATGCCACACAAAATAGAAGTAAAATAAAACCCATCCAAGATGGCTGCATTTTGAGGGACCATCGAGATGCTTATCGTCATTTTATCCCATTAGGCAAAAATAAAATAAAATAAAATGTGAATTGAAAGAACAAATTGAATTGTATTTTGGACTTTAAGGAAATCCCTTCAGGTAATTCCATAACCAAATTTTTCCTAAATTCCTCCAGCTAGAAGACGTTGGCGACATTCTTGAAAAAATCCGCATTGGGCACGATGGCTCAGGTATCAATTCAGGCTGGCACCTTGATCAAGTAGACATACGGAGGCTTTTACCAAATGGAAAGGTAAGGAGAAGTTTTTCAGTGGCGAAATTCAAATTTTTTTTGCTACTGGTTCTGTGGGCGTGGCTTGGTGGGCGTGGTGTGGCTTGGTGGATGTGGCAGGGGAAGGATACTGCAAAATCCCCATTCCCTCCCCACTCTAGGGAAGGATATTGCAAAATCCCCATTCCCACTCCGGGGCCAGCCAGAGGTGGTTCTCTGAACTACTCAAAATTTCCACTACCGGTTCTCCAGAACCTGTCAGAACCTGCTGGATTTCACCCCAGAAGTTTTTTGTAATGAGTATTTCCATCCAAATACCTTTTCTGCATTGCTTAAAGGAGATGCTTCTTTGATTACCAACTCAAATAAATCAGTCACCAATTCAAATTTCAGTCCTACCAAGAATGTAAGATAGTGACTTTATAAAGCCACAATACAGGTAGTCCTCGACTTTCAATCATTCATTTAGTGACTGTTCAAATAGTGACAGTATGTGTTGGGCACATCCACAAAATGGTTTCCTTAGTGACTTGGCAATTTGCTTTCCAACAGACCCCCTTCCTGTTCTTTCTTTCTTTCTTTCTTTCTTTCTTTCTTTCTTTCTTTCTTTCTTCCTTCTTTCCTTCCTTCCTTCCTTCCTATTCTTCTTCTTCCTTCCTTCTTTCTTTCTCTCTCCCTTCCTTTCTTCCTTTCCTTTGTTTCTTCCTTTTCTCCCTCTCTCCCTCCCTTTCCTTCCTTCCTTCCTTCTTTCTCTCCCGATCTCTCCCTTCCTTCCTTCCTTCTGTCTTTCTTTCTCTCTGTCTCTCTCCCTTCCTTCCTTCTCCCTCCCTCCTTTCTTTCATCTATCTATCTTTCTTTCTTTCTTTCTCCTTCCTTTCTTCTTCCTTCCTTCTTTCTCTATCTTCCTTCCTTCCTTCCTTCCTTCCTTCCTTCCTTTCCTTTGTCTTCCTTTTCTCCTTCTCTCCCTCCCTCCCTTTCCTTCCTTCTTTCTCTCCCTGTCTCTCCTTTCCCTCCTTCCTTCTGTCTTTCTTTCTCTCACTCTCTCTCCCGTCCTTCCCTCCTTCCTTCTCTCTCTCTCCCTCCCTTCCTTCTCTTCTCCCTTTTCTTTCTTTCTTTCTTTCTTTCTTTCTTTCTTTCTTTCTTTCTTTCTTCTTTCTTTCTTTTTTCACTCTTCCCCCCTCTCTCCCCCCCTCTCTCTTTGAAAAGAACTTTTGAAACCCAAATGAGTCAGGTAGGCAGAAAGGGGTTGCCTGCAGGCATTTTAGGAGCTCCAGATACTATATTGCCTCGGCAGAGCCACATAATAAACTTGCAGCAGATTGAGAAATCAGCTGCTGTCAATGAATGGAACGGAGCCAGCAGCTCCATCAAGGGAGGTGGAGATAAGTGCGACAGCATCTCTCTCTTCCCTCCCTGGAACAAATGAGATTTTCTTGGCACGCATTATGCACAGTTGGCTTCTTACAGCCTTCAGTTTACTAGCAGTAGCAGTTGCTTTATCCGCATGCAGAAGACAGATATCCCCAAGAATAGCTGTCACTTTATGTAAAAAAAGATGTGGAGACTGTAGAAAGAGTACAGAGAAGAGCAACAAAGATGATTAGGGGACTGGCGGATAAAACATATGAAGAACGGTTGCAGGAACTGCGTATGTCTAGTTTAATGAATGAAGGACAAGGGGAGACATGATAGCAGTCTTCCAATATCTCAGGGGCTGCCACAAAGAAGAGGGAGTCAAGCTATTCTCCAAAGCACCTGAGGGCAGGACAAGAAGCAATGGGTGGAAACTAATCAAGGAGAGAAGCAACTTAGAACTAAGGAGAAATTTCCTGACAGTTAGAACAATTAATTGGTGGAATAACTTGCCTCCAGAAGTTGTGAATGTTCCAACACTGGAAGTTTTAAAAAAGAGATTGGATAACCATTTGTCTGAAATGGTAGGAGCCTAAGTAGGGGCTGGACTAGAAGACCTCCAAGGTCCCTTCCAACTCTGTTATTCTATTCTGTTCTGTTCCGTTCCAATCTGTTCTGTTCTGCATTCTATTCTATTCTATTCTATTCTATTCTATTCTATTCTATTCTATTCTATTCTATTCTATTCTATTCTATTCTATTCTATTCTATTCTTAAACAGGTTGACTCCTTGACTTACATCCATTCATTTCATGATTTTTCGAAGTTACGATGGCACTGAAAAATGTGATTTATGACCCTTTTTCACACTTACAACCGTTGCAGGATCCCCACGGTTCCATGATCAAAATTCAGGTACTTGTCTCATATTTATGATGGTTGCAGTGTCCTGGGCTCATGTGATCACTCTTTGCGACCTTCTGATGAGTAAATTCAATGGGAAACCCAGATTCACTTAACAGCCAAGTTACCAAGTGTAACAACTGCAGCGATTCCCTTAACAATTTTACAACCTGGAAAGAAAGTAACAACTGTCGCTTAACGACCGTCTCGCTTAGGAACAGAAATTTGGGGCTCCATTGTGGTCATAAGTCAACACCTACCTGTACACACTCAAACACATCAGGGAGGAGAGAAGCTGGCAAGCCCATGGCTATTGTCTCTGAGCTCCTTGGTCTGATGCCGTAACTGCCACTGGCAGCGAGACGGGAACTTGAGTGAAAAGCATGTCTGTGAAGAAGGGGAACTCAGGAATGGATTTCTGAGGATCCTTTAAGGTCAGCAACAGTCAGAAATCTGAGGCAGGTTGGAGACGAGAATTGGATAAGAAAGATAGTGGCTCTAGATCAGGGGTGAAATGCTCCCGGTTTGGACCGGATCGCCCGATCCGGTAGCAATGGAGGCGGGTGGTTCGGAGAACTGGTAGCAAAAATCCCTGCGCCCCCCCCATGCCCAGCTGAGCTGTGCGATCATCAGAGGCTTTTTTTCTTTTAAATGGCTCTGCTGATCAAGGCAACTCAGCTTGGATCGTCAGAGCCATTTAAAAGAAAAAAAGTTTTTTTCTTTTAAATGCCTCTGACGATCCAAGCTCTGAAGATCCCAGCTGAGTTGCCTGATCGGCAGAGGGTTTTTAAAAAAATCTCTGATGATCAGGCAACTCAGCTGGGATCGTCAGAGCCTTTTGAAAGCATTTTTTTACAACCTCTTCGCCTTGATAGTACAGTGGTCTACGCACCCTGTTATTAACACAGCTGCCTGCAATTTCTGCTGGTTCGAATCTCTCCAAGGCTCAAGGTTGACTCAGCCTTCCATCCTTTCTAAGGTAGGTGAAATGAGGACCCAGCTTGTGGGGGCAATAAGCTGACTTTGTATAAATATACAAAAGTATGAAGGCTATTGCTTAACGCATTGTAAGCCGCCCTGAGTCTCCGGAGAAGGGCGGTATATAAATCAAATTAAAAAAAAAAAAAAGAGATTGTAGAAAAAATGGTTTTAAAAGTAAAAAAAAAAAAATTGGCCACACCCACCCAGTCACATTAACCCCCCCACCACCAAGCCACGCCCACAGAACCGGTAGTAACAAATTTTAGATTTCACCACTGCTCTAGATGCTCAAAAAAAGTATGTGGGGGGGTGGGTGGGAATGCTTGCACTGATACCAAAGCAGGAATAAATGTGAAGGAAATCACAGAAAGTAAGGATGGAATTTACAGCCAAGTCTTTTTGTCACAACAGATGCTAGAGAAAACCATGGGGGCTTTTATCTCAAATTATATTTGAGAAGATACCTTCCCTTGATAATTCCAGCATTCCCCGCCCCCCACCAATTGGTTCTCAGTCCTCGTCTTGTAATAGCGATAATTATATAACACTAACAGCAACCATAACAATTTTCTTTCTCGAAGTGCAAGAACAGAAGCATACCCCCCCCCAAAAAAAGGAACAATAAATCCATCTTCGATCTCAACACTTGGTTTTATCGTTGGCCACTTTTACGATAGCTATAAAGACTCTTCTTGGCAATCGTATGGAAATGGTTTCTCGTAGTTTTCTTCCAAGGAAGTTATCCAACTTCTAACTTCCCAGACTAAGTCTGCGGCTCCCAGATTTCCAGATAGTTTCTCAGCTCGGGGTGATCTGATAAAGCATTGTGAGGGGTTTTCCAAAGACAGCTAAGTGCTGCTCTCCGCTGTGATCTGGAAAGTAGAAAGAAAAAGGTAGGTGCTTTTGGTCACCACAATATAGAAGGTGGTTGAGACTCTAGAAAGAGTGCAGAGAAGAGCAGCAAAGATCATTAGGGTACTGGAGGGTAAAACATATGAAGAACGGAAGCAGGAATTGGGTATGGCCAGCTTGGAGAAAAGAAGGACTAGGAGTGACATGATAGCAGCCATCCAATATTTGAGGGGCTGCTCAACAGAGAATAACAGAGTTGGAAGGGACCTTAGAGGTCTTCTAGTCCAATCCCCTGCTCAGGCAGGAAACCTATACCATTTCAGAGAAATGGTTGTCCAATCTCTTCTTAAAAACCTCTAGCAGTGACTGGAGACAAGTCATTCCACTGATTAGTTGTTCTGTCAGGAAATTTCTCCTTAGTTCTAAGTTGGTTCTCCCCTTGATTAGTTTCTGTTAAGGATATTGTTGTTGTGTTACCAACCAGCAGAGTGTAGAGCACAGAGAAACGTTGCTGAGAGCAATGAATACTAGATGTGCAAACTGGTTTATCAAAAGTTTACTTTTTTTTATTGAAAAAGTTTTACAAATACAATTTTTTCCCCATTTCCCCCCCTTTCCCTCCCTAACCCTCCCTAACCCTCCCCTCCTCCCATGACTTCCCCAAGGTGAAATCCAAATCCAAATCATATTGTGTCATCATATCTTACCACACATCTATTCTACCCCCTGTGTACTATACATTTCTACATGACATTGAACTATTCTACCCCCTATATACTATACATTTCTACACAACATTCAGCTAAATCATATTATTATATCATACTTTACCGCCCTTCTATTCTCCCCCCTATATACTATACATTTCTACATAACATTGAACTATTCTCCCCCCCATATACTATACATTTCTACACAACATTCAAGTAAAA